AGAGCTTTTTTTCATGGTCTATATTAAGCTCTCCTGACCAGCGCTGTCCATTCCACCCTTTTCCAGAGAGCAGTCCTACATGGAAAGTGTTGTGACTTTTCTACAGGATGTTGTGCCACAGGTAAGTGTCTATATGTGCCTTCAGAAATAGTAGGTTTTATCTTTGGTCAGGAGAACTCTGAAATGTTTGGTTTCCAAAACTTGACACTAGTACCAGCAACTTCAGAAAGGGTTTTGATGTTTTAGCATCCTGAGCATTGGTAGGATGGGACTATGTTATTGTTTAGATGTGCGGCAGTGTTGTGTTGACAGTGGCATAAAGATTATTCCTCAGGACTTTCCCCTCCTAAGAAGAATCATGGTGAATTTTTAGTAGAGAGTTGAGACCTGAGACCCTCGTAGATTTCTGTTTTCTTGTCCTATTTAAGGGTTGCCTCTCAGAAGGGAAAAAAGCAAGATACACTCTTCACTCCTTAACTAGACATTAGCTATATTGTACCTGAGCACAAATCTACTTCTTTTTATTTATTTATTTATTACTTTTTTTTTTTTTTTGAGATGGAATCTCACTCTGTCACCCAGGCTGGATTGCAGTGGCACCATCTCAGCTCACTGCAGCCTCTGTCTCCTCCTCCACCTCCCAGATTCAAGCTATTTTCCTGCCTTAGCCTCCCAGGTAGCAAGGATTACGGGCGTGAGCCACCACCCCTGGCCAATTTTTGTATTTTTAGCAGAGACGGGGTTTTGCCACGTTGGCCAGCCTGGTCTTGAAATTCTGACCTCAGGTGATATGCCTGCCTCGGTCTCCCAAAGTGCTAGGATTCCAGGTGTAAGTCACCGTGCCTGGCCAAGGATATGTATACTTGAAGACTGAGGTGGGAGGATTGCTTGAACCCAGGAGTTTGACACCAGCCTCAACAACATACTGAGACCCTTATGTCTTAAAAAAATAAAAAAAATTAGCCAGGCGTTGTGGCAGGCACCTGCAGCCTTAGCTACTCAGGAGGTTGAGATGGGATGATCACCTGAGCCCAGGAGCTTGAGGCTGTGGTAAGCTGTGATTGTGCCATTATACTACAGCCTTAGTGAGAGAGTGAGACCATGTCTCAAAAAAATATATGTGTATATAATATGTTTAATATATATTATATACTTTCTTTTTCTTTTATTAAGATGGAGTCTTGCTCCATTGCCCAGGCTGGAGTGCAGTGGCACAATCTCAGCTCACTGCAAGCTCTGCCTTCTGGGTTCAAATGATTCTGTTGCCTCAGCATCCCAAGTAGCTGGGATTACAAATGTGGATCTCCATGCCTGGCTAATTTTTGTATTTTTGATAGAAATGGGGTTTCACCAAATTGGCCAGGCTGAAGTAAGCAAGTAAATAAGTAAAATAATTTCAGGCTATGATTGTGCACAGTGTACTACAATAGATAATGACAAATATATATAAGGCTATCAGGGAAGGTCTCTCAGAGGAGGCAACACTTCACATGGAGATCTAAAAGGAACAGAAGGGTACAGGAAGGAATCCAGATAGAAAGAAAGTTGGTATAAAGGTCTCCATTCAAAGAAGAACTTAGTGTTTACTAGGAATTGAAGTTGCATATGGCTGAAGCAGAGTAAGGAGAGTGACAAAAAATGCGGTTGGAGAGGTGGCCTAATTTTTTTTTAGGCCTAATCTATTTTTCTAGGTCTCTAGGGCATGCTGCTTTTTAAATAGGATTTATGATAAATCATTATTTTCAAGTTTGATTTTTCACATGCCTCTTGAAATGGATTTGAATTGGTATTTTGATTTCTTTTTGTTTTTCTTTGAGATGGAGTCTTGCTTTTTTGCCCAAGCTGGAGTACAATGGTGCGATCTTGACTCATTGCAGCCTCCATGCCTGGGTTTAGTGATTCTCCTGCTTCAGCCCCCTGAGAAGCTGGGATTACAGGCGTGCACCACCAAGCCCAGCTAATTTTTGTATATTTAGTAGAGATGGGGTTTCACCATATTGGCCAGGTTGGTCTTGAACTCCTGACCTCAAGTCACCTACCCACCTTGGCCTCCTATAGTGCTGGGATTATAGGCATGAGCACCACGCCTGGCCTGAAATAGTATTTTGAAGTATTTTTTCTCCACTTGCTGGAATTTATATGCTTTATATTTAAAATATATTAATTTAGTATCCTTATGTAATTAACAGTGTTGTTTTTTCCCATTCACTTTGTTTGTTGTTTAGAGATGGGGTCTTGCTATAATTACCTAGCCTGGCTGCCAACTCCTGGGTTCAAGTGATCTTCATGCCTCTGCTTCCTGAATAGCTGGAACTGCAGGCACATGCTACTGCACCCAGCTTTCCCTCATTTTTATGCATTTTAATTTTTTTCCATGTCTTTCCTATACCAAAATTCTGTGACAGCTTAGTAGCTTCTTCTAATATCTGTACCTGCTAGAAAATGCAGACTCACTTGCTGTATACAGGTAAGGGACTAGGTTCATAACCAATTTAAAGAGAAGATCACTAGATATCAGCAACAATTTTACTTGCTCTAACTAGGGCATTCTTCTGCTCTGACTCAAGAGGAGGGTCCTGTCTTAGGTCTCTGTAGTCACTCCTTCAAATATGGCTTAGAAGTTATCTCTATCAAATTAGGAGATCATGACTTTTAAAAAGAGATAATGTTAAGAGATTCTACTCATGAAAAAAGAAAAAAAAAGATAAATAAAAAAGAGATAATGTTTAAAGATGTTAAAAGCTCATTTACATTTAACAACTTATATAAAGACCCATGAAACCAGAAAGTAGTTAGTTTAGCAGAAATATCAGCTGATAAGAGTTAGCCTCTTTTTTTTTTTTTTTCTCCTTTTTTGAATATTATGAGTGATGCCTGTAATCCCAGCACTTGGGAAGACCAAGGTGGGAGGATTGCTAAAGCTCAGGAGTTTGAGACCAGCCTGGGCACATAGTGAAATCCTATCTCTACAAAAAATACAAAAATTAGCTGAGCATGGTGGTGCATTCTACTTGGGAGCCTGAGGTAGGAGGATTGCTTAAGCCCAGGGGGTTGAGGCAGCAGTCAGCCGAGATTGCATCACTGCATTCCAACCTGGGTGACAGAGTAAGACCCTGTCTAAAG